TTTCCTAGTTACCAAGGAGTATGGGCCCCTCCCTTTGGGTGCCTTTTGGGCGCTCATTCTGACCAAGGTGATAGGCTAGTTCAAATATCTACTAGGGTAAATTGTGATTCAATTGGTCACTTATGTATGACCTAGCTTTCTCTGTGTTACAATCTCATTGGTCACTTGTGCATGGCCAGGCCCAACCACATGGCCTTTGCCCTTAAAAGCTAGTCTGTAAGGCAGAAGGTCGTCGCCTCTTTGCAAGAGACGTCCCTGGCCGGTCAGTTTGATTCTTGATGCTTGGCGCGAAATAAAGCTTTGTTTGACCTTCGCTTTGTATCAGTTTCACTCCTTTGACCATGAACCCAACAGAGCCATTCAATCTGCTTATTCGAATGTACAAAGGCGGTTCTCTCTTCTGAAATACTACGCTGAACAGATAAGAGTGTTCTCAGATACAATTTCATGTGATTACCCTATAATAGGAGCTCCTAGCTACAGTTCTCTATCTGGTGTTGTTAAGCACACAAACTTCCCACCAATAAGTCCTGTCCATCAAATCTTTATTTTTCATTCACAAAGATTCTATTTTGCAGGCAAACTCTGGCAACATTGCCTACCTACTAAAATGGCAAGAAAAGAAAATCTGAAATTGAGAGAGAAGAATCTGAAACAATCATTGTCACAAAAAATTGTCCTGTGTCAAATGTATTTCCTCCCTTAGGAAAAACTACCTAACAGGCCAGAAAAAGTAGTAGTGAAAGGCAAAATTAAATAATTAAATACAAAAGCAGAAACATTAAGTTGCTATTATGGACTGATTTTTGCAGCTGAATTAACCCATGAATGTTTTAAACTAATACTGAAGAGAGGACAGCCCAGTTTGAGAAGACTGGTTTAAAAACTACTTTTATATGACACCTGGGGTCACCTGGGTGGCTCAGTAGGTTAAGTATCTGCCTTGGGCTCAGGTCATGATCTCAGGGTCCTGGGACCCAGCCCAGCATCAGGCTTTCTGCTCAGCCAGGAGCCTGCTTCCCTACCCACCCCCGCAAACCCCACCTGCCTCTCTGCCTACTTAATGATCTCTGTCAAATGAATAAATAAATAAAAATCTTTATAGGACACCTGGGTGAGGTCATGATCCCAGTGTCCTGGGTTCAAGTCCCTCATCAGGCTCCCTGCTCAGTGGAGAGTCTGCTTCTCCTTCTATCCTTCCCCTCTGCTTGTGCTCTGTCTCTCAAATAAATGCATATTTTTTAAAAAATTACTTTTATCCATTATTTGTTCCTGAGGCAGGGATTCTTATCCTGAAACCTTGGATGGGCTTTCAGGGTCCTATGAATTCTCAGAAATTTGGGGGTGTTAAGTATATTGGGCATCCCCCCTTCCCCAGGAAATGATCTGTAGTTTCTGTCAAATATTCAAAGGGGTCTAATCTAAGAATCAGTGTTCTTAGAAGATTCTCTAAGGTATATGGAAAAGTTGGATACAATGATTTCAGTTAAACATTGGTGTTTGTGAGATCAAAGATGTGCATTTGAGATACCTTTCTCTGGAAGACAATGAGATCAGGCCTGTCTGGACAGTTGCAACAAAACCTGACAGGGAAATAAGAGAATAGCTGAGAACTGGATTGAGGCAGGCCCTTGTACAAACTACAGTAACACTCAATGCTATACCCAAATCATCATCATCATCATCATCATCATCATCATCATCATCATCACCATTATCATCTTAGTAACTAATGGCAATAAAAATTTACTTTTCATTCACACAAAGTCCAATTCCCGGTCAATAGGCAGCCTTCCATGTGGTCATTCAGGGATCTATGATCTGCCTCCTATGGCTTTGTCTTCCTGTATGGTCTTGGATTCCTCTGTCAAAACCCTGGTATCTTGCCAGTAGGTAAGGGGGGAGAGAGAGGGCATGGAGGATCACAGGAGGATGGGACATCCTTCTACCCACATGCCTTCAGGCAAAATTCAGTCACATAACCAGACCTAACTATAAGGGAGGCTGGAAACTATAGTCTGGCCACATATTTAGGGGAGTAGAAGAAACGACTTCTGGTGAACAGAAATGAAGCAACAGTACCATGACCAGGAAGAGGTTGGAGGTGAAGATAGGCTGCTTTAGATACCGGGAGAAACCCATTGTCACAGACAGACCAACATATTCCACCAACAGTAAGCAGCAGAGGCAGGAGGTTGAAAAGTTTCCAGAGGATAGGACAGGCACGGTGGCACAAAACGTAGAAGCAAAATGCTCAGAATGTCAGGCATGGAGGCAGGAGGAGTTTGGGAATCCAGGGATCTGTAGCAGAGCCCGAATTACCTAATTAGTATTTGAGAAGACCTAGGGCTAGGAGTGGAGGATAAGGGTACAGCCAGATATCTCTACCTAGAGAGAGAGAACCCAGAGCAGCAAGGTTACATTACAGAGATGAGGGCCACACAAAAAGGTAGAGTCAGGACAGATTACTTGTAATGTGACTCCACCATGACCAGAATGTTGGACAAGAGCTATCTAAATTCCTCCTGCCCAAGGTCTGGAATGGCCCTAGAGATGTGCAGAGCCTACAGACAGGGGTCAACTAGCAGGAGGAGCACACGGGAACCTGTTCAGGCCTGACACGACCCACCCTCAGATGTTACCAGAAACTGCACACTCTGCTTCCCACTCACGGACAACATCCCTAACTAACCCCAGCTTCCTCACAAATATCCTGGGATGAAAGAGGCCAATGAATCAGCACAAACCCTTCAGACAACAGAGCAAATGCCTTACTAACAGTATGAGGCAGCCTACTTGCTGATAAGTAATACATAATAATTATTATATCTGTTAAATAAATAAGTTTTTAAAAAATCTTTATAGGACACCTGGGTGAGGTCATGATCCCAGTGTCCTGGGATCCAGTCTGATACATACAAGACATAATTCTTGGGCTTTCACATGTATTTAACCACAAGTTTGACCAAAATGTCTATTTGAAGGCTGTACCTTCATCACCTCAGTTTCATAGATTAAAAGCTGAGCAGTAAGGCTTTTATTAACTTGCTCAAGTGCGTGGCAGAGGTCTGGTTACAGACTCAATGACCCTGAACACTCTGCCTCCTCTTTTTCTTAGAAAGTCTAATTTGTCCAGAATTCCAGATAACATTTTAGTCCCTGAGTGAAGGTGCCAGTGAGGACACACCAAGGAACACTCTTCAGAGAGCCACCATTTGGTTTCCAGAGAACTGCCCCCACCCTTTTGGAATGAAGACTAAGACATGCATATCCAAAGAATGTTCTTGGACAGATCACTGGGGTGGCTGTCTTCTTACAGAATGTGTGTTCTGGTGCAGTAATAAGCTTCGAAGAAAAATATGTCCCTCACAAATGAATGACTGCAGACTGTCTGCATTAGAAGGGCCACTGTCCTCCCCACTTTAGTGCGGTGAGGTTGAATAGCTTACATCATGTCCCTTAAGAACAGAAGCAGCAGCTTGTCCTAAGGTCCACGGTAAAAGACTCGCCTTCTTACCTCAGACCATTTTCTGTACTCAGCATGCAGGATCATGAGGGTTAAAAGCCAGAAACTGCTGACAGTGATGTGACTGCATTCATTCTTAGGTTGCTAAAGGGACTGTGAAAAAGAAAAGGGTTCAACTTCACAGAATTTATTTGATATGAAAGGAGAGATCCAGTGTCTTATATAACTAACCAGGAATTCTATCCATCCAGAAATTTATTCATTCATCCCAGCCTTTATCCTACCATGTATTCATCCATCCAACCATTCATCCATTTAGGTAATCATTCACTCATTCCAAAATATCTACTGAGCCAGTTTTTTTTAATACGGATTGTATTAAATCCTGGGTATTTCTAACACCCTCAATCAGGAGTTTTCTTTCTGCCTGCTTTTCAAATTGTGTGAACAAGCCCAGTGTAGGGGACTGCAGTACTTTTCATTATAAAAGGACCATTATATTACACATGTTTCAGAAATCATAATCGGGCCATTAATTGTGGTAGAGTTTGCAGCTTCTACCCATTAATCCAAAGAAAATAGTTCATGAAGAGTTCATGATCAAGTTTCCTTTTTTTGCTCAGGACCTCATTTTTGGTCCCAAGCTGTCTTTTATAGACCATGTGCTTAGTGTCCAGCCAAACGTGGACAAGTCTTAGTCAACAGTAAATTGGAAGTAAAGAAGTCTTCCAATTTCTGCAAATGTCTATGAGAGTGGTTAGTCCCTTCCTGTCCTTGTTGAGAAGTACACCCCACTGGTACAAAAACATGTATTCTCAGTTCTCTTGGAGGACAGTGGGAAGAGGATTTCTGCATCCTGCTGCCTAGACCAGTTGGTGTTTTTTATGCAAACACTGCAAGTCTGCCCTGTGCTCTAAATAATTCTATTCCAGTGGCCCGAGTTCTACTGGCTGTAAGAAGTCTAAAGTGATTTAGCTCAGCATTTGCTTCTGCAGCACATAAGAACATTATTTTCTGATGGTAGTAAATGAGGGCACTACTCAGGAAAACAAAGCACGATACCAACATTCTTACATATTTATTCACATTTGTATCTGTGGATGGAAACTTTTTCCATGCTACAAAGTTTTGTTAGAAACAAGATGCTACAAATCAATAAAGAATAGCTATAGTTATTGCCTATTATAAACAGAGTAACAAACAGAAAATAAACCAATGCAACTACTTTGGTATACACAGACATTCACTGGTTTTCTGCTCTAAGACTGATATGAACACCACCATTTTAATTCATTTCTGGCATTTTCCCTAGAGATACATTTTTTTTTCTTTTGAAATACAATTTCTTATTGGCCATTGCTTTGTGCTTCTCTTACCAGTTCAGGTTTGTAGCATACCAAAGAATTACAGAAAACTCTTTTTCTACCAAAGGGGAGCTAGTTGCCACCACGTGGTCATCCATATATTATAATGAAGAAGAAGCAAGCTACAAAAATTAATGCACATTTGTGCACACAGAGGGTGTCTCTGTGTGTGTGTGTGTGTGTGTGTGTGTGTGTGTGTGTATGTGTCTAATGTGTGCTCAAGCCTGGAAATACTGACTGGTATGAAAGGCTTTTAACTAGCTAGTCATCAAAATCATATACAATAGCCATTAAGAACTCACTTAACTAGCAGCATGTAAATCACTGGGGTTGGTTATTCAAAGACTAGACAAACAGATTTCTTGGATACTGTTCCCACTTGGGTTTTCCAGTTCATATGGTTCCAGCTGGCGGTACTCAAAAGTCACACGATTTATGTGCTTTCCACTGGACACCATGCGCACCACCGTGTTGTCACAGCCGATTTTCATTTGGGCTATAATTCATGAAAAAAGTAAAAGGTTCCCTGCAGGTTAGAAACCATACAAACCATTCTATCGACAAGATCATTTAAACACAAGGAAAGCAAGGGGATGTAGCTTCCTCTCACATACTCAAGCCATGCATCTGCCATCAGGTGAAACGTTCTGTTTTCATTTTTATTATAATATATAATTAATTGTAGAATACCGAAAGTGAAGTCAGGTTTCCTCATGTGCAAAAACATTTGTTAGCCAAATAAAACTGGCTGGAAAGAGTAGTTAAGAAAATCACAGGGGGAAAGAAACAGAAAACCATAAGCCCAAAATGGTGTCCTTTAGACCAGGGTATGAAACTGGGGCTTCATACCTAATCTAGTAGTAATTTCAACATTCCCCCCACCCCCAAAGGTAGCCTTAATCAGTCAGTCAGGACTTTTCCTATCCTGTCAGTGAGTCAGCTACAGGGGCCCTCTGCATCCCACAAAAGGAAGATGAAGCAATCCGCATAACAAGACACCTTGCTTTTCCCCCTAAGGGAAAGTGGCCTTGTCTGGAACAATCTTCTTCTTTTGCCAAATTTCTTGCCCACACGCCCCCCCTCTATAAAAACCTTTCATTTGGTACAATGCCTTGGAGTCTCCTCTGCCTGCTAGAAGGAATGCTGCCCGATTCATGAATTGTTTAATAAAGCCAGTGAGATCTTTGAAATCTATTCAGTTGAATTTTTGTTATTCAACAGAGACAATAAGATGTCTCTGCACTTTTCATGTTCTCCTTCCTACCTGCAATGCTTCCACAGTAAAGGCAGTGAAGAGAAGCCGGCTGTCTACTACTCCGCACTTTTGTAGTTCGGGGGTCTCATCAGGAACAGTACCGCCCTCTAGGGACAGGTTGGAAATTTGCAGGGGCAATTTTTGATTGTCATTATCTGAGGATGCAAGTGGCATTCAGTGGGCAGGGATAGAGGATGGAGTGTACTGCTGGATTTTGTGTTGACTAAAGAAATATCACCTGTTTATCATTTTCTGAGCTAGATAATAACCTTGTTTACATGTAACCAAAAAATCATTTGCATAGTTTAGATATACACTAAAATACTTATTTTTGTTCTATTGTTATTTGACAGAGAGAGACACATCAAGAGAGGAGACACAAGCAGGAGGAGTGGGAGAGGGAGAAGCAGGCTTCCCGCTGAGCAGAGGACTCGATCCCAGGACGGGGCTCAATCCCAGGACCCTGGGATCATGATCTGAACCAAAAGCAGCTACTTAACGACTGAGCCACCCAGGTGCCCCTCAAGCTGGTTCCAGATGTAAGATTTATTTGCCCAACAATAATTTTTTCTGCTGTTTTAATTTTGTCTGTCTTCCGCTCCCCGGCCCCTTGTCTCTGTCAGGCCTGCATCCCGAGGAACACTAGCATTATTATTGCATAACAGTTACTTCACAAACCTGTGCCTGGGCTCAGAGGAAGTAAAACAGCCAGATACTTACCTGAGATAAAAGTCAATTCAGAGACATTATAAATATAAACCCTATAATTACTTTTATATAAGAACCTGGGAGTCTAGGTTAAGCTTCTATGAGCAGGTCCAAATTTAATTTTCTTTAAATTATTTGGAAGGTTATTCTTTTTCTGTTCTCACTCTAAACTTTGACATATGTAACATGCTCCATTTCCTTTGTTACTGTGCACCTGATTTAATTATGTGACATAACTGTATCAAAATTCCTCTGCCTTCAGTTACCTAAATTTTAAGGCAAGAGCATTCCTCAGACCTTAATCTACTCTTCTTACCCAGAGCAAACGCATCTCCTCGCAGGTACCCTCCAGCATGGAACGATCCAGTGCTTCAGAGAACACAGTAAGAGGCAAGCCAAGCCACATGTACTCACAGTTTAAACCAGCAATTCCCAGCCCCCCTCACCCCACGTGACCATGAACCAATGGAAAACCTTCACTGATCCCCCACAAAGAATATCAGGGCCTGCTTGGCATGCTGTGTATTAAACTGGTCTTTTATTACCAGTGACCGTTTTTCAGTTTCAGAGGCCGGCTTTGCCCTTAGACATTGGGGACACTCAGCAGTTCTGAGAATGTCTAATAAAGCATAACACTTTTGAATGTACATACTATGAATAATACACACATATACAGATATGGAAAAGTTATTTAGTTATCTATTGCTCCATTATTTTAAAAAAGATATTGCTTTATTATTATACTCCTACTAATTGGTGGTACATCTATTTGAAGCATAGTTTTCAGTTAGTAAACCTGTTGGTCTCTAGAGGATGAAAGCAGGCACCTTTAAGAAGGTAGAAAGAGCACAGAACATAAAAATTGTCATTTTCATGGTTTTCTTAGGGTCAACTTTAAACATGCACCCATATCTCTTTAGAGGTTCCTCTCCCAGTGTCATGTATTTTGCTAATGCCTTCTTGATACCATACATATACTCAAATATAAAAATCCTTACATTGGCTCAAAGTGCAAAATGCAAGTTTTTTGAGTCGAACTTGCCTTCCCATGTATAAAAAATCTGAGGTGTTCTATTTGAGGGAGTATCAAGTTTTATTAAAGGAATCTTGACAGGCTCACAAATGATAATCAAAGAAATATCTCACCAGGGCCATGAAACGAATAGCAGAGGTCAGCCAAAGGCATCATCTTGGAGGGGTCCAGCCCAGGTCCTCCCAGCAGCTCCACAAAATCTCCTATTCCCCCACAACCTGCTGAGGGGTTCTAAGAGAATAAAGCAGCAGAGAAAGATATATTTCAACCAATTACAGAAGTCAAACCATTTGACCAGCCACACATTGATGAATTCCCTCAATCAGCCATTGCCATGTTGGCGGTGCCGTTTCATTGAACATCCGGGACTCCGGAAATGAAAAGACATCTCTAAGGAACAAAATCATAAGAACTGCTCCTCTAAATGAGTTGAGTAATCGCTTTCTTTAAATGTGTGTGCATTTAAAAAAGATATATTATAATCTCAAGGACCAGAATGATGAAATGGGAATCTGTAAACTCCACATAAAATGAGTGAAAATTGAATCTGAAAATGCTTTACTTTTTAAATCATCTGCACATACATATGGAATTATTTGAATTTCTTAATATATGCAGTCCATATTTATAAATAGGGCTTTCATACCAGTTCTTCCTTCAACTCACCTCTTTTCCTCTTCTTTAGAAAGGACCTTTCCTGCTCTTGGGACAATCCTTATCATTTCTCCTAATGGGCATTTAGATTAGTTCTAAGAATATTAAAGAAGGAAAAGAACCCTCCTTTGGAGGTCAAGGTAGATTGAACTACCAGTGTCTTTCTCCTCCCAACTAAGACAAATTTATTTCAAGCTACTCCAAACCGGAAGGTATTCCAGGATGCAATCCACTGTAACTGTTTTCCACTTCCCTTCATCCTTTCCACATTGCCTTGTCCGTGGCAATTCCTGCACTTCACTTCCCCCCACAAATGAAGCAGCCACTCTCAGAGGTTGCCCCTTGGGTCACCCATCTCCTGTGATCAGGTCTGCTGGCCTCGTCGGCATGGTCCCCTGTGCCCACAGGGCCCACACTTACAAGGGCCCTGTGCTTGGCTTAAAGCTCTGCTGTCACCTGAAGTTCCTAATAACTCTAAAATAAGGGCCCGCACGTTTTCCTCTTGCACTATTCCGCAAAATTACAGTCGGTTTTGCCTGTGATCCTCTTCTTCGATGAGACATACTATTGAGAGATCTAGTGCAGAGTGGCAAGGTGCACAGAGGTAAACCAGGCAGACCCTGCCACATAGGGAACAACATCTAAAAAGAGAAAATGTGGGGCTCCTGGGTGGCTCAGTTGCTTGAGCAACTGCCTTCGGCTCAGCTCATGATCCTGGAGTCCCAGGATCGAGTCCCATATTAAGTTCTGCATTGGGCTTCCTGCTCAGCATGGGGTCTGCTTCTCCCGCTGACCTTCCCCCTCTCATGCTTGCTCTCTCTCATTTTCTCTCTGTCAAATAAATAAATAAAATCTTTTGAAAAGTAAAATAGAAAATGTTAGGGGCGCCTAGATGGCTCAGTCCATTAAGCTTCTGCCTTCGGCTCAGGGTTCGGGGATCAATTCCCACGTCAGGCTCCCTGCTCAACAGGGAGACTGCTCCTCCCTTTCCCTCTGCCCCTCCCTCTGCTTGTGCTCTCTCTTGCTCTCTCTCTCTCTCAAATAAACAAAATATTTAAAAAATAAAATAGAAAATGTTAAAGACACACACATGCATAGTCACACACATTCAACCATCTAGAAGACACTGAAAAGCAACTAGAACAGGACAACAAATTAGGAAGTAATATAATACCAACTGTTTGGCTAATACAAGGAAGGAGGTGGGGACATACATTTTTTAAGTGCCTACTATATCCTGGTTCCTATGCTTAGATGCTCTACACATGATTTCATTCAATAATGAAACAGAGGCTCAATTAGCCCTCCTGTGTACAGGGCTTATGTTCTTGTATGAAGAGTTGAATGAGAGATGAAGGGGAAAAAAATCTTAATTGTCTTTCCCTTCAGGAGAGGATGTCCAGGGGGAACATCCCTTAAGACTAAACTTTCCACTAGGTTCTTCAGGTTCTAAATTTCAGTATGAAGTGGCAAAGGGGAAAGGCAGACCCCAGAGAGAAAAATGAGAAGTAAGGAAGTAGGGAAGAAGTAGGAGCTAAAATGAGGGGAACCAAGCAGAAGCAAAGAAGTTGGACACACCTGTTCCTTGATGTTCAGTGACTTTACTCTGCTCTTCCCAAACCTCTCAGCTAGTCTTAGGAATGAGAAGTACTACCCTACCCTGCTGTGTTCAGCTCCTCAGTAGTGAGCCCCTAGAGTTCTCTGTTGAGGTTCTGGCTACCTGGACTAAGCCACTACCTTCTCCTGCCTAAACTGTGACAATGGCCCTCCCTGCACCACTCTGGCCCCCATAGCCAATTCGCCAGCCAGAATGGCCTTTAGGTAATCCTCTCCCTCCCTCCATGGACTTCATTAATTAATGTGGTCACAAGATCAGCAATTCCCAACCACTGGACCTGAGCATAATCAAATGGATTATGTCACTTTCCTGCCTACACCCCTTCAGTGGCTTCCCACTACACTTAGAATAAACCCAGACTCCTTCTATATGCCAGGCTGGGCTCTCCACACCCTGGCTCTGCCCTTCTCCTTGATGCTGTCCAATATCCCCCAGCTCCACCTTTCTTTCTATTTCTGGGACACAGCAAGCCCATTCCTCCCTCTGAGTCTCTGCATTACTGTCCCCTGTGTTCCAGGCTTTTCCAGCTGCTGCTGGGTCCTTCCTACCTATCACTCACATTTTACCCTAAACGTCTCCTTCTCAGAGGTTTTCTTCCCTGACCACGTTACCTTGAGGAGCTCCCCGCCCCCCTCTCTACTCCCTTGTGGATCGCAGCACTCTGCCTCATTTTCTGTTGGGCACTCATCACTATTCTGAATACATTACACTTCTTCTTATCTCAACCCACAAGAATGCAGGTTCTTTGTGAGCAGGAGTGTGCTGCTCCCTGCTCATTTCCAGCATCTAGAATAGTGCCTTGAACATAGGAAGACCTCAAAAATTATTTTGTAAAAGAATAGATGCCTAGAACACTGCAGACTTCAACAGGTTTTCAAGCGGAAACACCAAGATTACTCCTCACAGCCAAGAACAACTTAAGTGCAGATCTCCCAACCTGGAATTGTGCTTGCCATCTTCTGAGGTATACATCAGGACAGGCATACAATCTCAGGCCAAGAGGACTATACCAGGGGTGCCTGGGTGGCTCAGTGGGTTAAGCCTCTGCCTTCGGCTCACGTCAAGATCTCAGGGTCCTGGGATGGAGCCCAGCATCGGGCTCTCTGCTCAGTGGGAGCCTGCTTTCCCCTCCCTCTCTGCCTGCCTGTCTGCCTACTTGTGATCTCTCTCTCTCCATCAAATAAGTAAATAAAATCTTAAAAAAAAAAAAAAGAGGGCTATGCCAAAGACATCTGCTTATTCTGGTCTTTATCAAAGGATTATTTTTTTCCACTAAGGCCCAACCAAAAAAAAAAAAAAAAAAAAAAGGCACTGGCCCATGAAATTGGGCTTATTGGAAATTAGATATACACCTTTTTTCAGTGCTGGTCCTGTTTGTTTGGTTTTCACTGAAATCTGCCTGATTAGGAACAATGACTGTCTTTGATGTCAGCAAATATATGAGCTATCTTAACCTAGGAATATGGGAAAGTGAAAGGAAATGAGAATGACTCAGAGTGAAGAAGCCAGCAAGGCTCTCCCTTGCCCCCAAAAATGTGGTCAAGCTCAGCATTAATTATAAAGTCCATACAGAAGTTCATGGAAATACAGATTGATGGAGATTCTCAACTAATATTTTCATACAAAATATATTTAATTAAATGTGATGTAAAAAAAAAGGGGCGCCTGGGTGGCTCAGTTGGTTAAGCGTTTGCCTTCTTGGCTCAGGTCATGATCCCGGGGTCCTGGGATCCAGGTCTGCATGGGGCTCCTTACTCAGTGGGGAGCCTGCTTCTCCCTCTGCCTGCTGTTCCCCTGCTTGTGCTCACTCTCTTTCTCCCCCTCACCACCCTGACAAATAAATAAAATCTTTTTTAAAAAATGTAAAAAAAAGTTTAAAAAAAATCTTCAAAACTTTACTGTATTTTGTAGTATAAAAAATCCAATTTTGTATTTTATGCTACACTTAGCATTCCTTCATCACACAGTTCTGTCACTGAGATACTTCCTTCATGTGATAAAAAATTCCAATAATCAGAAAAACAGCTGTGTAGATGACTCACACTAGGTTCTGCTAGGAGAGAATTTTTGTAAAAGAGGCAAGTACAAGAGAGTTCAATTGTAATTATATGCCACAACTTTCCTAACTGAAAACATTTCTTACATCACAAGAGAAGTAGTCAAGTAATCGGAAGGGGCACCTGAGCACTCAACATGCAGTGTAAGGGAAATAGAAGGGGGCTCTCATCAAAGCAGAGAGGGCAAAGCGCATGAGGGCCTGAGAGTCAACAGAAGGATATGTTCTTGCACTTCGCTAATGTCTGTGTTTGCCCTGAATGCTTCCTCCTCCTCTGGTAAAGCTGTGGCCTTAGTAAATGACTGGGAAGTAAGAAAGCAACTTACCTTGAACTGCAGACCATGTAAGTGTCCCAGGGTGAGATCTGATATTTTGATGACCACGGGATAAATTATGGAGAAGCTGCAGTTTCGACGCGCATGTGGGACGACCAGGGTAAACCTCCCACTAGGGGTCTGGGAGATCGCGTTGCAGGCTTTGTGGAAAAACAAAGGCACATTTTTCACTATTTGGTATGCTGGATGTTCATAGAAGTTTATCCTATCCTTATTCTAGGCTCCTATTCATGGTCTAGGGCCCTTGTGGGCTGGACAAGAATAGATATCACAAGGGCAGTTTGGAGTCGGGAAGGAGTCGAAGGGATAAAAGTCACCAGGGAGGTATGGACATTGTTGGAAGGTCCTAGGTGGCAAGGGGGCTTCTGATCCCAGTCTAAAGGAGTTACCTTGTTTACAACAATAAATTAATAACCAGACATAAATTAATAATCAGTCAAACAACACTAGCTAGTAGAAGTTCTAGAAACACTTCATTAACTAGTGTCCAAATTTGAGCTGTAAATCTGAAAGAAAAAAAAATCAAAGGTGAGGCCAGAAGTCAAACCCTGCCTGCCTGAAACCTACGTTCACTGAACTTGGAACTGTAGTGATATTTTTAAAATAATGAAGTCAATAAATTAAAAAATAGCTACAAAAGAGGCTGAGAAAAATAGAAAGCAAGTTTATGTCTGAATAAATATTTCCTGGGTGTTAAGTGATAAACTGACTAAAAGGTAAAATATTTTTAAAGGTAAAATATTAATGTTTAACTTTATCATAAGACTTTCTGATTTATTTTGTATCTCAAATATAGACTTATAATACATTTATTCTCTTAACTATGAAACTGGAAGTATCAGAGTTTTGCCGATCCTGGGCCAAAGATTTCTAATTGATCAGAATAGGTCAGAATTCTTTATTCCTATGTTTAATTTACACTTAATTTTAAATTTAAACTAAATTAAATTTAAATTTAAATTATACTTAATTCCAAAAGGAACTGAAATCCCTTGGTGATTCTAGAAGATTTCTGATTTCTAACCATAAAAATATAGGAGAAACATTTCATGTTGCTTTCTAGGGTTATTCTGCTCCAGTCCTCAAAAATGGACTTTTGGAGCTTCTTTTTTAAAAAATAAAAATTGGAAGGTAAATCACTACCTTATTCTTTGGCAGATTAGACCCTTTTCTTCCACCATTTGAAGTGTTAATACAATCGTATGCAGCCAAAAATGAGCAATTTTTTTCTTTTCCTGACTTAAAAAAATATAAGCAGATGAACAAACTCATTTTGATTAGAATAACGTTTTAGGGGATGCCTGGGTGGCTCAGTTGGTTAAGCAGCTGCCTTCGGCTCAGGTCATGATCCCAGCGTCCTGGGATCGAGTCCCACATTGGGCTCCTTGCTCGGCAGGGAACCTGCTTCTCCCTCTGCCTCTGCCTGCCTTCTCCCTCTGCCTCATCCCTCTGCCTCTGCCTGCCTACTTGTGATCTCTCTCTTTCTCTCTCTGGCAAATAAATGAATAAATCAAATCTAAAAAAAAAAAAAGAATAACGTTTTAGGCCTGGGCTGTTCAGCTTTATAGCATCTATGTGGGTATCCAACAGAAATGAAATAAGTTAGAGTGGTGGGCTCAGAATTAGAAAGCAATGTAGAAGTCCTTCAGTCCAACCCTCTGCTTAGGACATGAAATCTGTCTATCACATCCCAGATAGAGCCTTTGCCTAAATATTTCTAAGATGGCAACTTCAGATCTGATTCCTCAAGCTAATCCCAGATTAATGGAATGACTCAGAGTTGGTCACTGAATCCATTGTAGTGCCTCCGAAGATCAGAAAAAGACTAAAGAAAAAAAATAAAATTTTACCTACTAAAAATCAATATCCTACCTACCTGCCAATACCTCCTAAAAACTGAATTGATTTTCAGAGTAATGAATAGGAAATATCCTTTAGGTCATTTCTAATGGCAAAAGAATTTCCATTCAAATCATTCCTCACTTCAAATTTCTTAAGGCCGGTGCAGTCACACTACCTTTGAAAAGCAGACCTGACACTCCATCCAAGCCCTGCCTTCCCACCAGGAAGAGAGGGAGTCCACTTACGAAAGAGGTTGGGATCTGTCTTTATGCTGAAGGTGAATCCGTTTCCTGGTTCATGAACCCGGAAGAAGATCATGGCCACATTCTGGGAAGATCTGATGCTCCTTCTGCTTAGACCACTGCCACAGAAATCTATGTACCGCTCAGTTGTGGGGAGAGGATGATCCTGGGAACTTGGGAACTTCTCCCCCTTGAGAATCCAACCATCAAATACCTTCCGACAAAAAACACAGACATAGGTGATCTTTTCTATCAACTCCTGAAGTCACCGCTATGTTAAAAAGGGGGGGGGAAGTTCCCTAGCAAGGATTCTTCCGGTGTGAGTGACTGACAGCCTGCACTCCCCTGCCCCCTTGCTTTCCATCTATATATATATTCTGACCATGAAGGTGGTCTGCAAGTATTACTAATAATGATTTTTTTCTTCATAAACCTTAAAGAATCCAAAGTAAGTAAACTTTACTATACTCCATAATTTCAGCCTCTTTGGTAAATGAAACTATAGACAATATACATTTTTATCTTGGTCACATTTCCCACACATCCCATTTTCAGAAAAATTCCACACAAGCATAATTTGGGTTTCAGCTAGTCTTCGCCTTCTCCACCTCAATATATTAACAAAATATCTCAAAACTAGCAAAAGGAAAAAAAAAAAACTGGAGTAGCAACTTTACCTACTTGTCAAAGGCTGTAATGTGCCCATTTCCCTCATTTTGTAACACTTATTTCATATTAAACTAACAAGAACTACTTGAACACTCAGACAGCAATGACTTCTTTTCCTTCACTGTGGTTAAAGTTTGCGATTAGATAAAAGGTCAGCGTCTACTGACAGTACTCCCCCAAATCACCACAGGTCTCCTCCAACTAAAAGAGTCCAACCGAGTTCACATTAGCAAAATCACCAGCTACAAATGGCTTCATGACCCAGAAGTCTTCTAAGGAGTTTGCCAGATTCCAAAATAATTCCACCTGGGAGGTTCTAATCATGAGCATCGTAATGGGACTGAGTAGCTGAAGGGTCAGACTCACGGAGACCAATGAGGACTGGGGATGGGGTGAGGTTGGGGGACTCGTCCTCGCCTCCCAACGGCCTCAGACCCCCTCTCAGCCTCCGTCCCAACCTCCAGGGCCCTCCTGCTTCCAAACCGGGTCACCCCGGCATTGAGGACGACCTCCGTATGCCTGGAATGCCCCGCACAGACGCGGGCCGGCCTTCTAAGCTGGGCTGGCCCTCCAGGTGGCCCCAAGCTGCGGGGCGGGCAGTTTGTATCAGTTTTCATCTCACACAGCGCGTCCCGCCGCGAGTTCAAGTCTTTGCAAGCGCGGGCTCCCGGGAGCGCACCGGGGAAACTTAAAGCCCTGCGACCAGAGAGGCTGGAGACCCTCGGGTGCGGGGAGAGGTTCGCTCCGCGTGGCCGTCCGGGAGACGCCTCTGCCACTCCGGAACGAGCTCCCCTCCCTGCACCCCCACGCTGGGCACCGCATCCCGACCGGTCCCCCTTCGGGGCCCCCAAGCAGGCGCTGGCAGGTGGCCTCACCTTCAGGAAGTCGCCGCCCTGACAGTCGATGGAGACCAGGTCATAGTGGATGGTGATGAACTCCTCGGGCTCGGCGATGAGGAAGGCGGCGCAGTGCAGCTGCGGCCGGTCGGCGGTGAAGGTGAACTGGCCCGGGAGGCTCAGCATGTCCAGGCACCCTGCGGGAGGGCGTCAGGGGTGCGGGGGCTGCAGCCCCGGAGGCGCCGGCCCCGGGCAGCCCGTCTCACGTGCCCGGTTCCCGGGTCTGCAGCGCCCAGTGCCGGACTCCCCGACCCCCGCCGGCGCGCCTCTGGCTCCAGCGGGACCCCGAGATGGGACTCGCATTCCACCCCACCCCCGGCGATGCCCGGAGCCTCCTGCCCCGGCGCAGAGCCCAAGCTCGCCACTTCCCCGCTGCCCGCGGACGCGCGCCGGCAGCCCCGACTCACGCAGAGCGCGGCGATACAGAGGCTCCCCCGCCAGCTCCCGCTTCAGGTTGGCGCCGAAGAGCAGGAAAGGGTCGTGGTCCGTCGCTTCCCGCAGCTGGCAAAGAAAATGAGTCAGTCGGGAGAAGTTCGAGAGGTGGGAAAGGGGACTGGCAGCAGGGCCCTCGATCTGCCCCACAGCAAAGAGAATAAAGTGGCGGGATCAACGTCTCCCGCGTCCAAAGAAGAAAAGGTCTTAGATCCTTTCCATCAGACCAGGGCATCCCCAGGGACCAAGGGAAGGACCAGGGCATCCTCAGGGGCCAAGAGGCAGGGAGGAAGACCAGCCAAGGGGAAACCAGGAGAAGGAAGGGGCAAAAGACAGGGAAGAAAGAGCTAATCCCAACAAACGTAGCTTATCCACCCCCCATGGCTGGACACACACACACACACACACACACACACACCCACACCCACAAAAGATGTGATGGGGTCAGTCTGGAGATATCTCACCTCTAGGTACCGGTTCTCCCCTCTTAGAGCCATCAGGAAGATCAGAATGAAGTGATACTGAAGTTTGAAAGAAGGAGACATGCCTGCCTGGCTTCTGCAGCTGGTCTGCTTGGCTCTGAAGGTCTCAGGCTTTGCTTCCCACACCTTCGCCCAGGCTGAGAGCTAGAGGCTGGTAGGGTCCCTTTGCTGGGTCTCTTTTATAGAGCAGTGAGGCGGGGGGTGGGGGGACTCTCTGCCCCTTAACTGATCTGAGCTCAGTAACCATGGGTTACCCTGTCTCAGTGACAAAGTGCGTGCTGATGACGAGGGTCCCCCTCTCAGCCACAAATTTTCAGAGTGGTCCGGCAGCATTATTCACCAAGAATGATTTCAGGCACTTACAACTTATTGAACTAAACTGTGGGAGCGAGAATGAGGTATGGCTAGAGAATAAAGGAGGCATTTTGCTGGATCTGCCAAATGCTAAATTATCTCTTTCTGTGGATATTTAGGGAATTCTCGGTGTTGCAAAGGAAAGTGACAAAGTTAAACACATGCATAAAATAGCCAAACACTTATCACTTTATCATGCAGGCTTGTCACAGAACCTTGGATGGAATCATGCTGGAAACTACCAGAGAATATAGTATTCGTGCAATTGTTCATGTCTCTCAGGAAGTAACATGAGGTGTTTTTAGTTCCAAACAGAAGCTGAAGTCTGATTTTGCAGAAGATGGCAATAATGCAGCTCAAGTTTTCTTTCTGTCCCTTTGTCTTTTATGCTGGTCCATTTCCTTGTAAGCATTTCCCTAATGGAAAGCTAACTCAGGCATCTATAAACCTCTGGATTTTAGCCAAATTTTATCATTTAGCCCAAATGTATACCTGGTAGGACATACTCCTGGGCTGGCTAACTGCGGCCATGACCTCGACATCCATCTGAACCAGTGAGGGATGAAGTCATTCTATTTCACACCTTCAAATACTTAGAATATTTTAATACTCTGGTAGAAAGAACTGCCCAGAAGCTTTATTATGATTGCTTATCAGCAAATGTATCAGGCTAAACAAACTTAGAGATCCAGAAATAAGTATCTTTGGTGATTGGACAGAAGACAGTTGCTTCCCGTTTATGTCAAATTTTGTGGGAAATATTGGGGATGCTAAAATTTTGGTTTTCCTGTTTATATGCTAAGCAAGACAAATACAAATTCTAAAAACATCATGTTGTTTTACCTCTCTCTGCTTGGTAGAAAATACTACCCTTAGCTTTTGTTGTCATTAAAGTTAGTACAAGTAATGGGAACATAATACAAGTTTTCACTCAAGGAAATGGTTTATTTTTAGTTTGTAAATACTCAAAATTAAGCAGTAATTTACCTAGTGGTGTTGGAACTTGATGTTTTCATATTTAAGACTATCTGTGCTCTAAAGGGGCTGCCTCTTAGTTGTGTAACCGGGAGGCCTTCCTACCATACTCCAATTTTGGAAACAGTCCTCAAGACCGCAGAAAGCCTGAAAGGGAAAGATACCCAAAGGTCTTGAAACCTGGGAACCATGTTCTTTTCCCCATCTTGGGACTGTTTAGATGTCTGAATTTCAGAGACGGTATAAAGAAATCTTAGAGGATTAACACAGACAAATAAATGGCTTAAGACCAGCTTCCTTGGCCTCAAACATGCCAGGCCATCTTCAAGTCTCCTTCCCTCACTGTCCCTCAGTGTTCCTCAGGCAACACTCATCCCACATGCCATGGGCCCATTTGCCTTTTCTGTCAACCTAGCTGTGGCCTTGGCCTGCTCCCAAGATTAAGCCCATCACTCAGCTTGGAGACTCTTGTTTATCCTATTTTGGAGGTCTGGCTTTGGTAGCATCACCATAGAGATGGCCTTCTCCAACCCGCCCCTTCATACTTCATCAAGGAAGTGGAAATCAAAATCACAATGAGATAGCACCTCATATTTGTTGGAATGGTTAAATAAAAAATACAAGAAACAACAAGTGGAGAGAATATGAAGAAAAAGAAACTCTCATGCACTATTGGTGGGAATGTAAACTGGCATAGCCACTGTGGAAAACAGCATGGAAGTTCTTTAAAAAATTAAAAATAGAAATATCACTTGATCCAATAATTCTACTATTGGGTATTTACCTGAAGAAAATGAAAACATTAACTTGAAAAAATATATGCACCCCCTATTTATTGAAGTATTAAATGTAATAGCCAAGACATGGAAGCAACCAAAGTGTCCACCAACAGGTGAACAGATAAGGAAATGTGGTATAAATACAGAACGGAATATTGCATAGCCATAAAAAAAGAATGAGATGGTGCCATTTGAGGCGACATGGGTAGACTTAGAGGGTATTATGCTATGTGAAATAAGTCAGCCTGAGAAGGACAAATACCATATGATTCCATCAATCAATCAGTCAATCAAGCCATCAATCAACAAACGAAAAACAGATTCAGAACTGTAAAATATAGAGAATAAACTGATGGTTGCCGGTGGGGGGGGGGACAGGGTTGGGTGAAATGGGTAAAGGGGATTCCAATTATGGAATGAGTAAGTCATGAGAATAAAAAGCATAGCATAAGGAATGCAATCAATGATATTGTAATAGTGATTTAATAGGACAGATGGTAGCTATACTTGTGGTGAGCAAAGCATAATGTATAAACTTGCCAAATCACTAAATTGTATACCTGAAACTAATGTAATGTTTGGCTACTAAAAAAAAAAAAAAAAGAGTAAGTAAAGTATAAAATCTAGAACTTATCGGGGAAAACTAAGAAGGCTGAACAGGAGGACAAAGAGAAGCCAGGTAGCCATTCTCTATGAGCAAAAGTATAAAAATGGATGAAAGCAATGGGAGAGTAATTTGGATGAGACAGAAGAAAAGTTTCTGGAAAATAAGTAGGTCTATATCCGCAGACAAAAGATAAATTATTTCATGGACTGATTTAGTCATTCAAACAACTAACTTAATATTTCAAAGCCATTTGTTCAAACAATTTCACTGGTTATTTTGAAATACATTCTTAGTAAACCCAGAGTCCCTAGGCATCCTGGTTGGAAACTATCCTCATATTCACCTCCATTCTCTGCACATGTCTTTTTTTCTCTCCATATTTTTTGAGACTTTAATGTCAATGTTGATACAGTTCCTGATCAATGCTTTTAAGGTCTTAAACTACTGTTGGGTTGTGTTAAGACATTCTTTTTGTTAGGTAAGATTAAGACATTTTTTCTTTCACAAACCCCGAGAGCAAACTGTCATTTGTGTCAAGTCTGAGGGTCAAGGTGGCCACACAATATAGATTCATATTCAATTCATGAACATGGGTCAAGGGGCAGGATTTCAAATTGTGCTCAGGCTGAAGAGGCTCACCGAGACAATTGCTAAGCGTGCAGAGGGGACTTTGTAGTCACCCATGTGGTTGGTGATGTGATTGCAACAGCCAAGTGTAAGCTTTTGCAATATTTTAAACACTGAGGTATCATGAAAAGCAAGGGATTACATAATCCCAAATCTCTTTCTATTCTAGGGTCAATCCCAAGACCTCCTTAAGTATTCCCTGCTTGTAGTAGTAAACTTTTTCTTTTGTTAATTACTTCAATAGAGAACACCACTGATTCATGCTTCCGAAGACCTTCCTTTTCCCTTTCCTGACTGATATGTTGAGAAGTTGGGAAATGGTACATACAATTGAGTTCTTTAAGAAATAAAGATGACATGGGGTGCCTGGGTGTCTCAGTCGGTCAAGCATCTGCCTTCAGCTCAGGTCATGATCTCAGGGTCCTGGGATTGAGCCGCTCTTGGACGCCCCCCGCCTCCTTGCCTCTCCCCCTGCTTGTTCTCTCTCTCTCTCTTTCTAATAAATAACTAAAATCTTTTAAAAAAGAGATAAAAATGACTGAATAAAACTCACTATTAGCCAACAACAACAAAAAAACACTAATTTTCAGTTGCATTCAGGATGACTTGCTATTTGAATGACTCTGGCTATTTTTTAATGCAACCAATTTTAATAGATAAGATTTGTTTTTCAGATATTTCTGAAATCAGGAAGGAAGAAACTAAACAAATACACTTAGGGAACTAGTAAAAACCAACCCCTGAATGAAACCCTCATGTGTCAGTAATTTCCATTCCAAATCCGTTATCTTCTTTTGTTCTACTTAAGATGACCAACAGTGATATGTGGAATTTAAGAAACAAAATAGAGAATCAGAGGGGAAGAGAGGAAAAAAATAAAACAAGACAAAAATCAGAGAGGGAGATAAACCATAAGAGACTCTTAATCATAGGCAACAAACTGAGGGTTGCTTTGAGAGGAGTGGGATGGGAGGGATGGGGTAACTGGGGGATGGACATGAAGGAGAGCACATGATGTAATGAGCATTGGGTCTTACATGCAACTGATGAATCACTGACCTCCACCTCTGAAACCAATAATACATTATATGTTAATTGAATTTAAATTAAAAAAAAAAAAAGATGACCAGCAGTGAGTAAAGATTAGGAATTTGGGGGGCTGCAAGGGACTAACACCAGGTTTGAACTTAAACAAAAAGGGGAACCATCAGGACACAGACATCTTGCACACTGCATGGGCAGAACACTGGAGACAAGGATTTGAATGCCTACTTTCCAGTCTCCCTGCCTCAGGCTGCCTTCCCCTCTTACGTGCAGTGTCTGTGGCAGGAAAGTGGCCACCAACCATTCCTAAGCTTTACATGTTACCGTTTGACAAATAAAAAAATACCCTGAATCAATGTTCTCATCATTCCCAGTCCATACAACTTTGTAGGAAAAGGCTCAGAGCCCAGGGGATAAGATCCTGTCATAACATGACTGCTCTCATGACAGCCGTGTGGACAGAGAAGGGAGAAGCAGTTTTCAGAAGGGATGCTGACTTCACAAAATAATAGGGATCTTCAAAAGACTGAAAAACAAAACAAAACAAAAAAACATGATTTAATGACCTCTTTGATCATATGTCTTCTCACCTGTAATATGATGATCTACAATGAGTATTATTTTAGGGATTCAATTATTATATGTCCCACACAAAGGAACGCTGCCAAGCAGTGAAGATAGGAGAAAATGAGAGATTAAATGATCGGCCCAGATTATCACCATGAGTCAGAAACAAAGTCTAGACGCAAAAGATCTCTCTATCACCAGCCAGGTAATTGATCCTCCTTCAAAGGCAAGAGCCCCGGAACT